GATACGTATTCAATATTTTAACACCCTCTAAGTATGTAGTGCAGATCTCTTCTGGAAATGCTATGACATTTTTGCGTAAGTACTCAACCTATAATCTCGATCGATTGATAAGGAACAGGAACCTCTACCTAGTATGTATACAGTATACGTGTTCATCCCTCGATGCCTTTTCTGGTTAGATATACAAAACTATATTAGTGTTTTGTTCCCGAGGACAGTGAATAAGAACTCCAAGACGATCATCATACAAGGATTTCTGAGGAAGTCCGGGAGCGGAAGTTTTTCAAAATCGCACTGGCGTACCTTTTACAGACTCGGAGTTCGAGATGGAAGTCTCTTCAATTACGCAGTTAAGGTTTACATACAGACACCACTGCAGCTCTCAGGAGAGAATGATGACTTCCTTGTATAGTACCCTCAATACATTCGCAATCGTCGCTGCCATTGGCCATCATGTTTGTTAGGACGGAAGAAAACTCCGAATTGACAGCTTCTAGATTCAGACATAACCTGCAGTCTTTGACCGATAGTTTCTTTTGCCACCGCTAAGTTTCTGTGAGTATGCTGTCAGAATCATGTCTGGTCTGACTCTAAGTGTTCCGATTTATCCTACAAGGCGTCATAGTACGGTGGGACTCGATTTCGAGACCTAATACCCACCCCTTAACTTTCAATGTAGTTGACTCACATCATGCGCTATTTTTCTTGGAGGATGGTTAGAGAGTACTAGTAAGTATTCGGATGCGAGATCTGGTGACGGGGACACAGATGTGGGTACGCTAGTCAGTTCGAAGAGTTTGTGATATCTTATGAACCTGATAATGAAGAGAAGATTGGGGTGTTTATAGAGAAAGCACAAAACTCAACTAGTGCACCAGATAGAAGTTTCCGCTTCGATGACTGGTACATTATTTCCGTGCCTTGTAATATTGGGTAGTAAGGCATCTTTGAGCCATGAAGCTGAAGCTTGAAGCACTGGAGGACGTAGCCATGGACGTTACGGCGTGTGGCAACGCCTCCCACCCTGGTTCGGCCTAGACCGGTCGAGACTCTGATTGGATCCCGCTTCTTTCCTGTTTTATACCAAATCTAACCGTATAGACCCATTGTAACGGGTCAAATATCCTCGGACATCATGAGCCGAGGACTGGCCCGAATGACCGATGAGAAAATTTAGTCGAGATTGTGTCTGTTGCCTCCGTGACTTGTTTCCCTCCCTCGTTTCGCTCGAAACCATAACTCGCAAACACGGGACCGAGTGTCTTTTCGACTTTTGTTTCCTGTCCAGAGGCATCCTCGTACTCTCTTTCTTTTGTCGTCCGCCAAGTATTTTCGTTTTTCAGCCAGTAAACAAAGGCTGTGCAGATAGCCAAATCGGTTCTAGTCAGGCCGTTGGTTGGCGTTTTACCTTGACTCCGTTACGCCCCTACGTCTCTCATTGGCTGCTCTCCATCTCCCACTGCCATTGGCTCGACGCGCTCCGCGTGTTCGCGTCTCGAAATTCTAAGACGTTACTCCTCGCGACGCGCTGCGTTTCTGGCCGACTGTGAGTATCCTGCTTTTTGCCGATTTTATCTTTTATTTTTTTTTCTGTTGTGGTGCTGATGTATGGTAAAGATAATCTGATACCACCAGGACAACCAGACGACTGGTTCAGGCTTTTGGGGACCGCGACTACAACAAGATCGTAGCGAGAAAAAGGTCACAACGATATGGAAGACACCCAACAACAACATCAACAGCCCTCACATTCTCAGCAACCACAGCAGTCGCAAGCTGGAGGCGGTCCTCAAAATTCCCAACAACAACAACCACTCCAACCCATCATCGCCGCTCAGGAAGATGGTTCAAGGCTAGAACAACCTACTGACGACGAGGCCGAACCGGCGCCTATCACGGAGCAGGAGGTTGGGGAGTACAGAGAACAGGATCGCTTTCTACCCGTGAGTTAGACATTTGCAGGGCGCATTTTTTCGGTTTCTCTTCACCATCGACCCTTGTTACCTTTCTTCGTCTCCAGTTCTGATCTCTCACCCTCCTGTTGTGTGTGTGTGTGTGTGTGTGTAGATCGCCAACGTCTCCCGCATTATGAAATCTTCTGTCCCACCCACCGCCAAAATAGCGAAAGACGCCAAAGAATGCGTACAGGAATGCGTCTCCGAGTTTATCTCTTTCATCACCTCGGAAGCGGCGGAGAAATGCCAGTTGGAGAAGAGGAAGACAATCGGAGGCGAAGATATCCTCTATGCGATGAGTACCCTGGGGTTTGATAACTATGCTGAGGCTTTGAAGATACACTTGGCCAAGTTGAGAGCGGTGAGTGGGATCATTCCGCTTTTTATTTTCAGATTGGTACTGACGAATCGATTTCTCCTCTGCTCGCTTTGTTCTCGCTACTGGTTTTTGGTGTCCCTTCTATGTCGCACCTCTACCTTTCTACCTTTCTGCACGGTTATCGACTATTGCTCAAACCAATGTCCGCGGAATCGTGAATATCATGGCCCGTACTTCCACGCTGACAACTTCCACTGCGTCAATCGTTCCTTTCCACCTTCTTAAACAAACGGATTTGACCATGTGGTGCCTTGTCCAATTCTCACCCCTTCCTCTTTATCCCCCCTCCCACACACCAACTCGGTCCGTTTCCGTTTTCTCGACATCTGCAATTACCTTTGGTCCATTCCTTTCCACTGTCCGTTTCTCACCGACATGTCGACACACCTGACGTTGGGTATTTTACGCAACAGCAACAACACGCTAACCAAGCTCAGAACCAGTCACAGACCCAAAGCCATGGTCAATCTTCTTCTTCTGGTCCCGGCCCGTCCGGTTCGGGTGCTGCTGGGAATAACGGAACAGCGAGGAATGGAACGGTTGACGAGGAGTAAAAGACGGATGCGCGGAATTCTAGATCCATATACTGAGGCTCTCACGTTTCTGCCGGATGGACACACACACACATATACGCACGCACGCACGCATGGAACGAGTGAAAGACGAGTGAAAAAAATCGTTTGTGTTATATGTGTCATGTTGGTTGAGCGATTGTTCGGCGTTGGGCTGGGTCGGTGAGAGAGAGGGGGGGGCGCAGTGCGTGTTTGATAGGTGGTTTTTAGTGGGCCTCTTTGTTTAGGAGGAGGAGGAAAACCATTCGCGCGGGTCCTCCCCAAATTTTCTGGACCCGCCCTATTCCTGCGTTCCGCAGTCCATGTCGCGAACGCGTCGCCGCGTCCTTCTTTTGGGATTCCCAAATGTTCATAATCGTTCCGTCTAGTCGTGCTCAACGCGACATCGTCCTATCCCCGGTACTCACTTCTCCTTTACAACATCAGATATACCCTATCGTTTTCTCGAAGTCTTTCTGCGTCCTCTCCCACAAGACTCCTTTGTCCACAGCTATTCGTGTCCGTGCTGTGGGGTTGAGTTTCGGAACCCTCCAACAGCACCGCCGTCCGTAGAACCTGGCTACTGCGAAATCTACAAAAACAAAGATGGATACTACCAAGTCCCGATTCGATTCTTTTCCCCCCGTTTTCTTGATCACTGCGTCATCCTACCGTGTCGACTTTTACCCCTCATCTTGGTACGCCCGGTATCTTCTGGTTCTTCCTGGGTCATCCTTTTTCCCGCTTTGTCCTCGTTTAGTCGTTGGTAAACCTTTTGGCGCGGATCGGGTACCACTCGGTAGTATTGATGACCAGGGGTCGTTCATCGCTGCTGCGAGCGTGTGGAGTCACGAATTATTTCTGGGTTCTCCGTTTGTGGCGCTCTTGATCCAGTCGTTTGCTGGAAGCGTTCGCAACACGCGCGGCTGGGACGTCTCTTGGCTTTATCTATCTGTACTGGTCATTCGTCAGCGTGCTGTCCGGGTTAGGCTTACGCGAGCCTAGTCTCTAAAGGGCCTCCGAGGGGATTGGGATTGCTTTGACGCGGATTTAGAGTTCGCAATCTAGTGCCTTCGACGAGATCGTGCGCAGGGTGGATCTATGATGTCTAGGTGCCCGGTAGGGCCAAATAACCTTTGCGGCAGGGGGGTTTGAGTTGGGACCGAGTAGCGAGTTCCGGAAAAAATGATTTCTTCCGCTTTGCCTTCTTTCTTTTTTCCCTATGGAATTGATTTTCGCGTTCTTTGGTGTACATTTCCTTCTTGAACTACTATTCCTGCTTGTTCTCTCTCTCTCTCTTTTTTGGTTGTTCTGTTTTACGTCTCGGTATTTCTTGCATCGTTGTGTTCGTTACCCACACGTGCTATGTTTTCTTGCATCTGGTATAACCATGTACTTTGTAATTTTTGGTACAGACATTGTTTTATTTTCTCTCTGGTTACGATCTGTGTGACTTATGTCGGATCCTCTTCTTGTTTACTTGTTCCAATCGTCATTGCCGCACTTCCCAGTGTGTTTTTTGCTTTTAAGATTCCCTTGCTGCATACCCCCACACTCACAATGATCCATTTTGTACATAAAGTTAAAGTTTGTAGCACTGCTTCGAAGTGATGTTATCTCCGAGAATCCTAACCATCTTTTCAAAAGATGTGACTAATCGAACATTTCTATATCACACTGTACGGCAACCCGAGGTGACCCTCTATCTCTTATAAGTCCTCGCGCACAATTGGTGAACAGACTTTTCTCCTTAGATGGTTTTAAGTGATCTCTTTTGCTATTCTTAGTACCCTACTCTTTGGTAGTTTCTACTGGTCTCGTAGTCAGCCATTATATTTATGACTTATAAAACCAGGGCGGCAGGGCAGACGATCTACCGCCCGTTTTGCCTCAGCAAATCGCCACCGATAGACTATAGTATGGACTTGTACGATTCCACGTAGATATATATGTTACCCGAGTATCCTATCTATCGGTAGAAGGTCCTCATTGAACTAGCTTCTTTATAATATCGTCTAGTAGACTACTCTGGCAAGTTTTTGAGCGAATGGGTTTTTTGTGGTGGAGGTTGAAAATGTATCGTAATAAAAGAGAACCGAGCAAGAGTTCTCTGGATGGCCAACGTGGGGATCGAACCCAAAACCTTTGCGTTAATATAAAGTATTAGCACGACGCTCTAACCAACTGAGCTAGTCGGCCTGATGGCAGAGGAATCTTGTCATGACTTGGTTAGTGCGTGTACGCGTCGAGCTTCGTTTTCTCTGTCATCCGCCTTTGGCCGCATCTGTATTCATTTCCTATCAGTACTATCAACGTCGACGTCAAATGGTGCCCGCTGAGCTCGTCGAGTTACAAAAGGGGCCCGTCTCTTAGAAGATGTTGAACCATTATTCTCTTTTCTTTCATCCTGCTCTCCCCGTAGCTATCATTCTCGTACAGAATGAAATCTTCAAGGGCTGTCATTTTACTTTCTCTATCTAGTTCACTTATTTCTGCTCAACGCACTTGCAAATGTCTTCCCGGTCAATCCTGCTTTCCCACGACCACGGAATGGACTGACTTTGGCTCACGGCTCTCGACGTCGGAAACGCTCATCGTTGGTCAACGGCCGATGGGCGCAGTCTGTTACCAATCGGACCCTCTGTATAATGCAGAGGCCTGCAGGGCTCTCAATTCCAGCCTCTCTGGATTCAACTGGGCCTTTCTATCCTCTCAGATCGATGCTACCAACTACCTCAACTATGACTCGGTCATTTCTCCAACGGGATTAGTCGGATGTCCATACTTCCCTCTGACTAACAACGCTACGTGCGCACAAGGTCGTGTACCTCCCTATGCTGTGAACGTGTCCTCTATTCAGGATATCGTCGATTCGGTCAAGTTTGCCTCGGAGAATAACCTCAGGCTTGTGGTTAAGAACACTGGGTGCGTCATGAGTTCATATTCGTACACGCGATATTCATTTTCTCCTACATATGTCAAAAGCCACGAAGTTATTGGACGAACCTTTGGCGTCGGTGCACTGGAACTCTTCACTCATAACCTCAAGAACTTGACTATTCACGAAAGTTTCGTCCCATCCGGTGCCCCAGAGGGGACTGAAGCGGTTCCCGCTATGACTATGGGTGCCGGCGTTGACTGGAATCAAGCTTATAATGCTGCTCAGGCTGCTAATCAGACCGTGGTTGGTGGATTGTCTCCAGTCGGTACCGTTGGTGCCGCTGCGGGCTGGCAGTTGGGTACTGGTCATAGTGTTATTTCTCCGTTTTACGGACTCGGAGTTGATAACAGTCTGGAGTTTACTGTGGTACTTCCTAATGCATCCGTCGTCACTGTCAATGAGTATCTTACGCCGGACTTGTTTTGGGCTGTAAGTGTCGAGGTCCGTTATTTTTGTTATGCTATACTCATATCGATCGCAGATACGTGGTGGAGGAGGACCTTCTTTTGGTATCGTCGTCAATACTACTGTTAGGACCCACTCAAGCACTCCTTATACTGGCGCTTTCTTTGTTGGTTCGTGCGATTCTGATGAATCCTACATTAATCTCCTTGCCACCTGGATGAAGTATCATAACAATGTTTCTGATGCCGGATGGGGTGGTGTTTGGCGTGCGTAAACCATGTTATGATTCAGGACTCGAGACCTGAATCCTGTCTTTTTCTTAGCATTCGCCCAGCAGACCCTGTCCCTGACATTCGCTGCCCAAGGAACTCCTCCTACTCGAACTGAAGCTCTCTCGACCATGGACGCTTTCTTTGCTGAAGCCAGGAATATCACTGGTGTCACCGTAGCCGTAGCTACCTACCACAATTATTCTTCCTTTGGAGAATTCACGAACCAAAACCTCGTCGATCCCAAAAACTCGATCGGGTTCAACTTTACCACTGTCGTTCCTGGCGAAGTTCAGGGCGTCACTTCTTCTTGGTTATTGCCGAGAGAGCTCACTGCGGCGGAGAATGCGGAAATGCTGGCCAGAATCATGGCTAATGTTACTGCTGTCGGCACGCCTTTGTATGTCAATCTCTTCTTCATTTTTCTTATTTACATTTCTGAATTATCCATTTCTTATAAGCTTTGTCGGCGGAGGCATCGTGGCTGATCTCTCGAAGAACACAAGTTCCGCTGCGAACCCTGCTTGGAGAAACACTATCACTGACATGACGATTCTCGGTGGTGGTAACGCAACGATGAACACTAATCTCCTTCGAGAGATCGTCCATCTGGACATCCAGCCTTTCCGTACCCTTGCTCCTCCTCCCATGAGCGGAATGTATCTGAACGAAGTTGATTACCTAGAGGAGGACTGGCAGATAGCTCAGTGGGGTGTTCAGTATCCTAGGTTGTTAACGATCAAGAAGGAGATCGATCCGGAGGATTTGTTGATCGTTTATAAGGGAGTGAATTCGGAGGAATGGGACGATGAGATCATTTGTAAGACGACGAATCAAACTTCCGGGTCGTCCCCAAGTCAAGGTCAGACTTACGCTAATACTTGCTCAAAGTGAAGCTGCTTGTGTTCATTATAACTCCCGGTTCATTATATTATTGAGATTACGGTCATCGCAGTACATATTCACATTCTTTCTAGATACTTCAATTTCATACTTAGAAAACTCATTTAAACACGATTTTTGGTGGACTACTTAGCTTATGTATAGTCGTGGCTGTCTGCTAACATTCTGTAATACGATATCTTCCAAGGAGCGGTCAAGTGGATTCTCAGTTCAAAATGACCATGCTATATAAGTATTTGTTTTCAGTGGTGTTGTCGAACCAGCGTTAGCTGCATTGCGGCCCGAGAATCAAAATTTTTGAGCTTCTTTCTCCGTGATTGAAGAAAAGATGGGTCAATACCATCCCAATCATGTCATTATAAGAAAGGAGATGAAGTACGTACTGACGTTACATGAAGAGGTCACAGCACAAACGCTAAAAAAAGAACATAGAACTTCTCAGCCCGGCAGCACGAACGCACCCAATACACAGTTCATGCGCATGATAAATAATCACAGACTCGGACACGCAGGATCATGGAATACGGAAAGGTGACACGTAAAGTAATTAGACAAATGACGAGAGCGACGCCGAACAGAGGGTAGCAGGGAAACAAGAGCTACATCACTGGCAGTACAGTGCCGTGGTTAATTTGGTAACGGAAAAGCTTGGCACATTGTCAGAAAAGTCTTGAGAGTCTACGTAAGAAAATTATCGCTCTTTCAGAAACAAAAACCTTTTCATTTCTGATTCAACGGGTTTTCGGACTTTACTTCAAGTTCGACTGGCACCGTTGGTCCCTAAAAAGATTCTTCAGAGACCAAGAGCAGAAAATAGGGTCTCCGATGCGCACGAGTCCATAGCTGTATCGTGAACATACACGTCGCCAGGTTACCTCTCCGGGCATCCAGAATGGAAAGCGGCTGATGAATCAAGTTGTTGTATTGAAACATTCTACTACTTCTCTGCCACCTTTTGACGTGCACTATCAAGATCATGATAGAGCGCCACACGGAAGAACTTGCATTCAGTCTCCTGTCTGACGTGGGCGAAGGCCACTCTATGATTACACGCCTCAAAGGAAGAACTTAAAACATGCAGGTATTTACTGTGTCGCTATGTGTTCAAGCTGTAAGACTTCGCGCGACACGGTCCTACAGCATGGAACTGCACATTAGTACTCGTGTTGTCGAACAATTCCATCTTTTTAAGACTTATGACATGATATCACAGTCAGAACATCTGTTGATCTCCATGATCAGAAGATGTTCTTCTAGCTAACTTTTCCCTGACCCACGGTATATCACGAATTAGGATCTAAGTTCCGTGTTTCATGCACTTCATCAAACTTTACGAATCTCTCTGGTACTGCGGGCTTTCGTTGCGGCTGATTTAAGATGAGCTTCCGAGTCGTCCTGACTAAAATTCCTGTTTCTTTGTGTCTCCCCCCTCCTAAACCCAGGCTTGCACGATGCAATTATCGGGCGCATCGATTTTAGCCCACCTCACACTCGTTTGGACGTTTTATAATATTGTATTAGCTGCAGCAGAGAATGTGACAATTCACAATGACAACCCATCGATCATATACTCCGAGGGAGACTGGAAATTTGAGGATGACTATAGTTCGGGAGCGACAGATCACTGGTCTGGTGATACGGGAGCTTGGGCATCCTTCACGTTTACAGGTGAGGATAGAATTTCTAGTCACGAATGGTACACCTCCTCAACTTTTTGGGGAAAACTGGATTGTAGGTGTCGCAATATACTATTCTGTGCATCTCTATCCGTGGAATATTCCCGCTGGAGGGCGTTTTTTTCTTGATGGAAACTCAGAAGGAAACATCCGGCTATTCGACCCCAGGGCAGATGATTACGCCGATGTGGGTACCATAGTCTGGTCGAGGACAGGCTTGGAAAACACGCAACATACATTAAAGGTGCAGATATCGGATGACTTCATAACTCTCGATACACTAGTGTGAGAATCATCAACGTTCTAAGCCTAAAGAGATATTAACGGAGAGTGACTTCTTCAGATATTCTCAGTTGGATGTTCAAAGCAGTCCACCTTCACCCATTCCCGCTACCACTAGTACAGTCACGATGGTGATATCATCTCCTCCTGTGACATCTCCCGTAACTACATCAGAGTCATCCTCCACATCCACATCTACATCTAGTACATCCACGTCATCATCATCTCCTCGGGCCTCCACTTCCACGACACTGTCTTACAGTAGCTCCAATATGGAGAATTCTGCCAAGACAAAAAAACCGGCTATCGACTCATCCGCTTCCTCTTCTTCTTCCTCCAGTGAGGCCAGTCCCACCTCGGACAATGCTTTTCTTTCCGGCGGCCACTCGAAGCCGAAACTTGCAATAATCCTCGGGCCCGTTCTTGGTGGAATTACGATCTTACTCGCACTCGGAGCCCTCCTATACCGTATGAAGCGAAAAAGAACCATCATTATCACTCCTCGCTCTGAGCACGAAAACAAGGCACCGTTAGACGAAAATTCTTCACTGACACCGAGTAGGCAGGAGTCTTTTCAAGAAACGAGTCAGCTCCTAGGCCCCTATCGATTTCTGCCCGAACCTCAAACGTCCTCATCATCACCCCACAACGTCCCTGCAAACGAAGCTTCCGTATCGTCCCTCCTTGTCAATCAGAATGTTCAAAATAACATGGGTGGCATTC